CACGGCTGCTACTAAGAGTGTTGATTGTGGATCGAAGTAAAACGAAATCGCTGATGATTTCAGTCTTCTCTGCATCTAACATGATGTTGCCTATCGGTCCTCTGGTGAGAATTTTTGTCTTCTTGATTTTGAGATATAAATCCATTTAAAAAGTTTGTTGTTAGGGGAGCTCTGGTGGCCTAGTGGCAAGAAGCTGCAACTACAATCCCAGAGGTGCACGGTTCGAATCCACCAGATGCTCTGCCAGGGAAGGAGGGACAATCTCCTCCTGTACCAATCAGATCTGATTTGACGGTACACGCACACAAAAATAATAAAAAAATAAAAATTAAAAAAAAAGTTTGTTGTTGTGTACCCTCAAGTTAGAACTGACCCATCGCCAGTCCTCCAGCTGGTTTTCAGAGATAGTTAATCACACAAGAAATCAAATCAACCTTGTAATCCTCACCCAACCTGCATATCATTACCCTACCCCTTGCGGTGGCTCCAGGCTGGTCAGGAGGGCCCCGCAAATAAATCCAGCATTCTGGCTGGTCACCTGCACTTCTGAGTTTGAACAGCAGGGGGGGCCGCCGGCCACTGAGAGGACCCTTCCCTGGCTGGGCACCTTAGCTGGACTCCTTCCCCATGCAGTCGGTATCACCCACTGACCTCAGAAAGATTCCTTGGAAGCTGAGCAAACCAAGCCAAACGCAGTCAAACGATGACTAGCAGTTGAAGATCGTTTCATGTAACCATTCTTTCACACAGTACCCACCTACTGCCCTCCTGTGTATGCTCAGTGATCCTGGGCCCTGCTGGACACAGCAGGGTGTCCCCACAGGGCGTCCCGGGCTGTACGGATAAGGACAGTGGCCTCATCTCTCTCCCAGAGGGGCTGCCTGCTGAGCACTTTATCTGCTGAGCCACCTGGGCTAGAAGCAAAGAGAAGCACACCACTGGTCATCGCATCAGTCGCCTGCACCCTGTGTCAGAGGAGAATCGGGCTCACAGACTTTCACGATGGCCTTGTCAGAGTGGGTCACCAGGCCTTTCCTCCAAAGCGCCCTTCAGCTGGCTTCCATACGCACTGCCATACCCCCCACCCCCGCACCCTGCACACAGCAGGTGCTGATCTCCACTACCCTTCACCCCCACCTTGCACACAGCAGGTGCTGACCTCCCTTCCCAGGGCCTCTTCCCAGGAGCTGAAGCACTTTGCTCTTGGGCTGCAGGGTGCTCTGGTGCATGCAGTTCTGGGTCTTTGCAGTTGTTTCATATGCATGGGGAAATCGGATGATGAATAAAGAAGACAGAAGAAGAAATGGCCTTTTGAGCAGTGGTGTTGGAGAAGAGTCCCGGATATTCCAGGAATGGACAATAGCCTTGGGGCAGGTGCAGCCAGGGACCTTTCAGAGGCTTGGATGGTGCATGTGCATTGAGCACATTGTCAGGGGAGGCTGGTCCTCGGAGGACATCATGCTGAGTAAAGCAGAGAGCCGGAGAACAGGAGAAAGCCTTCTATAGAGTGGACTGACACAGAGATGGGCATAAGGACAGCAGAGATTGTGAAGCAGAGATTGTGGGATGTGCAGAGTTTCCCTCTGTTGTGTATGTGATTGTTGAGGAACAAACAAAAATGTCTGGAAGAAGCTCACCCAGGGTGCCCCCTGGAGGCCAGGGTGCCGAAGCCTCACATGTTCTCTGGGTTTATTGTTAGAAAGGGCTGTTCCCCCAGCTCTGAGAGAGATGCAAATCAAAACCACTGTGAGATAGCATCTCACCCAGTCAGAAGAGCAAAAGAGCAAGCAGCAAATGCTGGCGAGGTTGCAGAGAAACTGAAACCCTTATTCACTGTTGGTGGGAGTGCAAAATGGTGCAACCACTGTGGAAGGAGGTGTGGCACTTTCTCAAAAAGTTGCAAATAGAGATACCATTTCCACTACTGGAATTCCACTACTGGGATATACCCCAAAGAGACCATAACCAGCACCCAAGCAGGTATATGCACACCCATGTTTATTGCGGCCTTGTTCACAATAGCAAGGAGTTGGAAACAACCCAAGTGCCCATCAACAAACAAATGGATAGAGAAGCTGTGGTATATTCACACAGTGGAATACTATGCAGCACTGAAAAACAAGAAACTCATGAAACATACAAAATGGATGACCCTAGAGGACATTATGCTCAATGAAATATCTCAGTCACAAAAGGACAAATATTGCATAGGGCCACTATCGTAAAATTGGACTGACATGGGGATTGAGGGAAGACAGAGAAGGAAGGGAGGAATGATGTATACTGCATTAAAACAGATGAGGGAGAGAACAGTTTAAAAGGGATTTATGATTAGGTGTTATTGTCATGACAAGAGTCCAGAACAAATGCAGCATAGTAGAGTGGACTTGGGGGGAGTTTTACTTTTCAAGGAGAAAATTTAATTGAGGGGGAGGGAGTGAGCAGGGAGAAAAGTGCAACAATGAATGACTGGAAACCCTAAGTCTCTGTAAACTTTAATTAAAATAAAAAAAAAAGGCTATTCCTTGGAAAGGGACATGATGCAGGAAAGGTCGGTGAAGGAGAGGAAGACCCTCAGGACAGACTGACGCGGTGACTGTCCCAGCGGGCTCAAGCGTGTCGGAGACGAGGGAAGGCTCAGAGCTGCTCTTCACAGGGTCTCCGGAGTCACCGTCCACTCGGAGGCACCTAACCGCCGACCACTCCCGCCTGTGGTGAAAGTCGGGGTGATGACTAGTCGAGCCATGTGAATGACAAGCCCAGGCCCCTCCCCTCTCCAGCACTGCCGAGGTTTCAGATCTTATGGGTCAGGTGAGCTCAGAAAAACAGGGACTTGTTTTCAAGAACTTTCAGCGCCCTTGCTTGGTGTCTTCACAGGAACAGACACTGGGCACGCGAACCTGCAGCGCGAAGATCGTGGTCAGTACCTAGAGTCGGCCTGTTGGTGGCACGGTTCCTAGAAACCACTCCTGAGACTGACGGTAAAGGTTCCCACTCCTGACTCGGGTGCATACGACCCTGGGGCTGGGCTTGGGGGTGCACCGACGTTGGATCTGACAGCCCTTGGTGCACCTCTGAGCTGGGTCGTGTGGTGCTGAGCTGTGGACCCCGGGGTAAGCTGTGCAGGACACTTTGAGGGTGGACAGGAGACAACTCTGGGCAGCCTCGTCCCTTCTCCAGCCAACGTGGCAGCCAAGAACCCCCTGGAATGTTCTGGAAGCCTCCGTGGGTACAACCTGACGGCCACAGAACACTGCACGTTGGGTGTGCCGTCCTGGACAAGCAGCCTCCCGCTGGCCACACTGACCTGGTGCAAAGTTTCTATCTCACTCACAACGTCGTGATGTGGTCCTATCACGCCCTCTGCAGCTCGGATGGCTCAGAAGTTACATTTGTTTGGTTGAAATGATACATTTTTAGCTTTTTACGGTGACGTGGATGAAGGTGACAGAGCAGATTCCTCAATCTGTCTACTTCCTTTCACATCACGGATTGCAATCCCACCCTGTAAGTGCACTCACCCCACTCCATCCCTGTGTATCTCTTTTCCATCTCTCCTTGGTCCTAACCCTCCCTGCCTTCTGCACCTTGTCCCCGGTCGATTGTTCCCGGGAACCTGCACCTCCTTAGTTTCTCTCATCACACACTGGACTCTGGGTGAATGCTGAGTCATGAGGGTGACTCACTGCCTGGCAGCGGGTGGGGAAGGGCCGTGGTCGCGGGCCGTCCACCAGGCCTGTCCCACCTGGAAGCTGCTCTACGTGTCGCTGAGTCTTGTGTCGCTTCCCCCTCCCTGTCCAGGACTTGTGGGGTGAGCCCTGTGACAGCGGGCAGCACTGCTGGTAGCTGCACCTTGTTCTGCTGTCATCACTGATCCTTTGAGCGGGTCCCAAGTGTTCTCTGACCTTCACCCCGCTGTGCTGTGGACGGGGAGATCACCAGCTGCACTGCAGACGGCTGGGCAGTACCCACTGAAGTCGGGCGTGCAACGATTCCTTTGTGGACACTCTTGTGCCCACTGACCTTGTCCTCTAGCCTCGGGTACAGGCCCCATGACCACCTCCAGGGGTTTGGGTCCAGCTCGAATCTCCTCACAACCTTGCCCTCGGACGCCCCCCTGTTCGTGGGCGCACGTGCCGCCCGGGCGAGGGGGTGACGTGTAGACGTTCCCTGTGGAATGTCATGTCAGGCAGCACCAGCCCTTGACACACTGTGCATCGAGCTGTGCATCGCTCCCAGACACTCCTGCTGCAGGATGTGTACACACTCGTGCTGGCTTTGATCGGACACTACAACAAAGGGGTTTGTCTGTGCTTTAAGGCTACACTGTCTGTCCTGTTGGGTGGCACGTCACTGAAGCGCTCAGCTGCATGACAGGCAGGAGTGTACAGCCAGAGAGAAGCTGGGGTTTTTCGGGGGAGGCGGGAGGTCTGCTCAGAGGGAGGGCAGGAAACCAGGAGAAGGTATGCAGCCCGCTGGGCAGGGCCACTCCAGGCATCTTCACGGCCCTGGTTCTGGGGCAACTGATTAGCCTGGGCCTGGGCCTGTCCTGTCCCCCCACCTTGCCCCCTCACAGGGCTGGTCAGAGGCCAGGCGTGCACACAGGGAGGCCTGAAGTCCATCGAGCCTGTTCTGTCCCCGAGTCAGAGGTGCCAGTGGTTTCTGCTTCTAGCTTCCAGCACCCCATTGGCAGGAGGCGGACAGCCTCCCCATAGCCCCTGGGGCTGGCAGGGGACACAGGGACACAGGGACACAGGGACACACGAGCCAGCCATGGCTACAGCATTGTGGTTTATTTTGTGAGGCAGAGTTTATGGCTCTATGGAAGGCACTTTGAGGCCCTGGGAAAGGGGTCATGGGGGGACCCTCAGCACCCCTTTACCCGGGAGAGGCAATGACAGCTTGGGGTAGGATGGCTGTTAGGTGAGCGTGGGTTAGGCAGTGCCTGGTGGCGCAGGAGGCGGGCCTCACATCATGTCCAGCTTCCCGAGGCATCTGTCCTACAGCTTGGCTCCGGGGACCGGGGGCACAGGGCCCATCCACTTCTCTCCTGGAGGATGAGAAATGCAGGCTCACTGCCCTGGGGTGCCTTTCCCCATGAGGTGTTGCTGCCCCCAACATCCTGGGGCCCCGGGAGAGCCCCACTGGCATTAAGCCATCCCCTATAGAGGGGAGCCTGGGCAGGGAAGGCCTGGCTTGGGAACCCCTCCTCTGAACTCTGATCGCCACAGGAGGGGCTGACTCCTCTGAACTCTGATCGCCACAGGAGGGGCCGATGTGATGGGCAGCTGGGTGGGGGCCTTACCAAGCAGGTGAGCCAGCAGCTCCATGCGGTCGGAGCCAAACAGCATGTGAGCCTTGTTGTTCACGTGGGCCACGGTGATGGGCAGTCCGAAGGCCTGGGGACAAGGGGGTGGTGACTACAGGCCGGGCGGCACCCTGGAGCTGTCTATACCCACCTGTCGTTCCTCCTCCCAACCCAGCTCATCTCAATCACCACGGGTGGCGTTCAGGGAGAACTGGGGTGGGGGTTCCTGCTGGGAAGTGGGTGCTGGGACCGAGTGTGGGGTCTCTGCCTGCAGCACTGGGGTGGAGACACGCGGAGGGGTTCCCTTGGACAAGAACACAGGTGGGGTCCTCACCCCATATTTGCAGGCTGCCTCAGTTGTCTTCTTAAGCTGGTTCTTCACCTCCGATGTCGAGATCTTCCCCAGAATCCTTTGGGCCTGTTCTGCAGACATCCCAGCTTTTTCTGCAGCCTGGTGGGTGCAAACATTGAATTAATGGGGAGCGTGCCTCCTTTCTCTGCAGCCTGGGGCACACAGTGGGTGCACATGCTGAATTAATGGGGGGTGCCTGCTTTCTTTCTCTGAGGCCTGTTGGCGACAGTGGGGGCACACATCCTGCCTTAGTGGGTGTACTTTAGGCAAGTTTTCTGGTCTTTTCCTGGCCACACCTTCACCTACCCATGATGAGGTATGTAACCTTGTCAAAAGGGGCTAGTGAGCCTCTTCCTCCAGATCCCAACACTGGGGAGAAGAATGGGATTGGCGGGGGCCACAGGTGGAAAGGGGGCTCTAAGGAATCATAATATGGCTTCTTCTGGCTTGTCTGGGGTAACGGGGGTGTCCAGGGTAACTGGAGTTACTTGGAGTGTCTGGGGGTGTCTAGGGTAACTGGGGGTATAGGGGTAACTAGGGTGTCTGGAGTTGTCTGAGCTGGAGTGTCTGAGGTATAAGGGGTATCTGGTAACTGGGATGTCTGGGGTAAATGGGTCAATGAGGTGGCATGTGATCTAACACAGCCACTCCCTTGAGGGGTCCACTACAAGCAGCCAGCTGGTTGAAGGGGCTTTCAGGAGACACACCCTGACAGAGGCGCCTCTGACTTGGCTGAGTGAGGGACTGTCTCCCGGATCAGATATTCAGGGAGTAAGTGACAAACATAAATGAAGACAGATTACAACTCAAAGTCACTCAAAAAGTTCATCGCATTAAGTGAGTGTGGACTCAGAGCTGACCCTCTGGAGGGTGGTCAGAGGCTCTGACCTAGTGGTAAGAAGCTGTGCAGCAATCCCAAAGGCAAGTGGTTTGAATTTACCAGACGCTCTGTGGGAGAAGGATGGGCAATCCCCCCCTGGGGGATTTACTGCCTCAGAAAACCCGCTGGAGGGTCACCTGTGAATGAGGAGGTTACTATCTTTCTACTGTGAAGCAGCCACTGGACTTGAACTGCCTGCCTTTGGGTTGGCATTACAGCTCCTTATCCACTATACCAACAGAGCGCCCTCAAAGTTGTGGTTGTTGGTAGGTGTGTTGAGTGGACTACGCCTCATAGCGACCCTATGAACAGCAGCTTTGAACCCTGCCCTACCCAGAGCCAATCTCAGCATCTCCAAGACACCTGACCCCACTGCCAGAGTCTCTGTGTCAAGCCATTTCACCCGGGGTCTTCATCTCCTGCGCTGTCCCTCCACCCTTCCAAGGATGATGTCCTTCTCCAAGGACCGGTCCCTCCTGCCAACATGGTCAAAGTATGTGAGATGAAGTTTCACCAGCCTTGCTTGTCACCCTCGAGGTTGTTGTTGCTCTGTCCCATGAAGTCAAGTTCAATTCACAGTGACCCTGTGAACAACAGACCTGAACCCTGTCTGGTCCTGCACTGACCTTATCTCCAACACATCTGAGCCCACTGCTGAAGACACAGCACCAGTTCATCTCATTGAGGGTCTTCCTCTCTTTCGCTGACCCTCCATGTTTCTAAAAATGATGCTCCTTTCCAAGGACTAGTCTCTCTTAATAAGACGTCCAAAATGTGTGAGATGAAGTTTCAGTATCTCTGCCTCCAGAAGCCACTCTGGTTGCACTTTCTCCAAAACACACTTGCTTGTTCTCTCAATAATTAATCCCTATAATACTTATCACCCCTTCCCACTTTACAGCTCAAAGCCAGTAACCCTTCTCCTGTCATCCTTATCCACTGTCTAGCTCTCAGGTGCCGAGCAGGGGCTTGGAAAGACTGCGGCTTGAATCAGGTGTGCCTTAGTCTTCAAACAAACATCACTGCTCTTCAGGACTCTGGAGAGATCCCTGACAGCAGACTTTCCCGGTTTCCTGGGTGCTGGTGTGAAAAGGAACTAAATGACAATTTCAATCCTTTCTCCATCTATCACGCTGTTGCCTGTTGGCCCAGTGGTGAGGGTTTTTGTTTCCTTGGTGGCAAAATGTAATGCGTATTGAAGGCTGGAGTCCTCGATCCTCTGCAGCAAATGCTTCAAATCCTCACTTTCGGTGAAGTGCTGTGTCATTCGCAAAATGCAGGTTGTTCACGAGCCTTCCTCCAATTCTGATGCCGCATCCTTCTTCCAGCTTCTTGAACAGCAACCACGAATTGTACACTCGTGGAACTTTGATTAATTAGTGTGGGATATGACTGTTAAATATTAAGTGATAAAATGACGTAAATGTCATATACATGTTTTGCTGGGATCGGGGACAGCAGGATCTATTAGCCAATCTTGGTACCTTTGAGTTCTGTGTGATTTGACATTTCAGATGTCAGATCTGAATGTGCTCACACTCTGGTGAGGAAGAAGGGATGGTGAGACTCGGTCTTACATGCTTTGTGCACGTTATTGGGGGGGGGCAATCCCTGGAAGGTGCTAGACCTGGTAAAATGAGGGTCAGTGGAGGAGAGGACGACCCTCGATGAGCTGGGCTGACCCAGTGGCTGCAGCAGTGGACACAAGCGCAGTGGAGACCGTGGGGGCGGGGCTGGGCAGGGCTTTGCTCTGTCGCACTCAGGACAGCTGTGTGGGTATGACGGGGCTGACTCAAGGACACCTGTCTATGGCAGCACCGCCTTCTTCCAGCACCTGCGTCCACCTGGGCGCACACCTTGGTGCTCTGAGAAGCTGTCTGTGGTGGTGTCAGGTGAAGCCTGGACTTCTGGACTCCTCCTGTCCCTTTGGCGTCCTGACCACCTCCCCACTGCTATGTGTCACCAGGTGCAGCGCACCTGCACACCTGTCCTTCATCAGGCATTTCTAGAGGTCCTGTCAGTTCCATCTTTCTGCTTTGTGACTTTCAGGTGACTGTGACCTCCCCACTGAATGAGCCGGCATGTCCTCCTCACTCCTGGGCACCACCCAGCTTCCCCTGCAGCAGCAGAAGGGCCTGGGGTTACTCACAGCAAGGATGCTCTGGGGCTCGGTGATGTCTTCATCCTGGGAAGGGAGGGGTGTGATGGGAGGGCCTGAGCGGAGGGCAGTCCACGGGCCCCTGGAAGGCAGGGAGGCTCAGCGGTCACCGAGGGTCACCAGCGGCCCACCGTCTCCACAGGAGCCCTGCTCACCCGTGACCAGACACGCATCCATAGCTCCCTGGACACCTTCTCCAGCATCTCAGGGCACTCCAGCTGCACGGCGGTGAGGAACCGCATGGCGGAAAGGCTTCCTGTGGGACACAGGCTCAGAGAGGCCACCTACGTCACCAACTCTCCCTTCTCTCACCTGGGGCTCCTGGGCCCTCATCGGCCCTGTATCCCCCACCTCTCTGGTATTCTTCTCTAATCCTGGGGATCCTGGGGCCTCACTCCCCACACCTCCTTCACTGCCCCCCCCAACCCTGAGACCTTCCCTGCCCCCAGCCCTGCGTTCTCTGAACCCTCACTCCCTGTGGACCCCACCTCACTCACTGAAGAGTCTACCTCACTCACTGAAGACCCCACTTCCCTCCCCAACCCCCACAGCCACCTTTCTCCAGGATCACGGAGAGGAAATCCTTGGGGAAATGGATGGGAATCTGGAGATGTTCACGGAGGTAAATGAGGTCTTGGGTCAGGTACTGTTTTTTGCGGGGCAGCAGGGCGGGCGGCTTATTTCCTGCAGGGGGACATGGGACACACTGGTGAGAGAGATTCAGGGTCCAGGCTGGCATGTCCCCTTCCCCACAGAACACCCCTACCGCTGTCCTTCATGATCCCCGCAATGAGGCTTGGGCGCAGCCGCAGGTCCACATTCCACAGGTGCTGATATCGGCACAGGATCTGTGGGGACAAGGTGGTGGAGGTGGTGCTGGGACCCCCAGGTGGGTCCTCCGAGACCCAGGAGTGCTACGCTGCTCCTCCTATTCTGTCCCCATCTGGGGACGAATATTCCAGGAAGCCAGGTGAGCACGTGCTGTGGACCCCAAGAAGACAAGGGCACCAGCTGTCAGGAGCAACCCCCCAGCAGACAGGATACACAGCGAGCGCCACAGGGGACGGGGCTCTGGACGAGAGGGCACCAACCCAGCCCACAGTCCATGCGGGGTCACCTTCCACGTGCAAGGTCATCTGAGCTCTGAGGGTTGGTTCCACCTTCACCACCTGTGCTGACATCTGCCTCCTACAGTCCCCTCCCACAGAACAGCAACTCCTTATCCTGGCGGGCCTCACGGAGCACACCATGTCTACCAAGAGGAGGCGGCGAGATGTCCAGTCTAACTGTGGCTACATTCACCCAAGACGCAGGTGGACTCAGCGTGAATGGTCACTAAAGAGGACAAGTGACATGAACAGATCTCTGCCCCATCTAGAGAGAAGCATAGTGTCCTCCTACACTCGCTGACAGAGCGACTCCATGCGGGAGGGCCAGCTCTGGGAGAGGACAACCGCCGGGCTGCCAGCAGGAAGGAGCCCTGTCAGCGTGAAGATGGACATCCGAGGAGGCATGTGAGTGAGCAGGGCTTAAAGTGTCATGTCAAGACACAGCACTTGTGCAGACCTGAGAAGCGCTTGTCAATAAAAACCATCCCAGCAACAAATGTGTGTCACAGTGGACAGCTGAATGTGGCTGTGCACGCCTTGGTCTGTGTAACTCGGGACAAGTGACCGGGTGAAACCATGCAGATGTCAGGTACCTGTGGCCAGCCGAGGACACTGGCCAGCTTGCTGACTGTGTAAGACTGAATCTGTCAACGACTTCATCTTACTTGGATCCACAATCAACACCCTTGGTACCAGCAGTCAGGATGTCAGGGGACACGTTACAATGTTACAAGTCTGTAGTCAGGGACATCGCTATATTACTGAGGAGCAATGATGTCGGTTTAAAGACTAAGGTGTACCTGATTCAGGCCATGGTCTTTTCAGTCACCTACTAGGCATCTGAGAGCCGGACAATAAATAAGGATGGAGAAGACTGAATGTCTTTGAACTGTGGTGGTGGAGAAAGGTACTGAATATCCCATGGACGGCCAAAAGAGCAAACAGCTGTGTCCTGGAGAGGGTGCAAGCTGCGTGCTCCTTGGAGGTAAACACGGCCAAGCTTCATCCCACACGCTGTACGCATGAACTTAGGAGAGGCTATTTCTTGGAGAGAGACATCGCGCCTGAAAAGATGGGAGGCTGGAGAGGAGGACGTTCAACCAGAGGGCCTGACCCGGTGATGGCCGCAGTGGGCTCCAGTGTGTCAGGAAGTGTGAGGACAGCACAGGACGGGACAGGGTTCCGCCCTGTCATTCGCAGCGTTGATAAGGGTCATCCCCAACAGCACCTAACGAGGTGCGGAGCAAACGTCGGATTGGCCGGTTTGCCATCTCACCTAGCTGGAACGTGTCAAAGAGCAGCAGAAGTGGGGAGCTCCTGGCCATCAAGCCAGAAAAGCCAGCAGTGTCAGTGTGTCCTTTGGGCCCGAGATCCCTGTTCTGAGCCCTGTCCACCCCCGGACACAGAGAACCGTGACCCCAGAGCAACAGCAAGCAATGAATGGTGGCAGCAGAACCAGGGGGGAGCATGGTGGGCTCTGTGGCCTGTGGAAAGAGAACGCATAGCACCCCCAGGCAGGAGGCCGGGTGGCCAAATGGACACTGTCCAGCATCTCTCAGGAGCTAGTATGGCTGGCCACAGAGCTAAAGGTCTAGGCTTCAGCAGAGCGAGTGCCCCAGGTATTCATAATGGCAGGACCAAGGGAACTTTGCGGGATTTGCCCTAGTAGGGCCGAAGCCAAGACCTCAGGCCAAGGGTCAGAGAGTGGTCTTCCTTTGGACACAGCTGAGCAGAAGCACTAAGAGAGTTCTGTACTACCTGCCCCAAAGGGCACACAAGGCAAGCCTTTGAGTCTGAGGGCCAGTCAGGTCTGCCTTCAGGGGTGAGTGCCAAGAGACAGTCCTGAGTGAGGACCCGTGTCCTGAGTGTCCCTGGGCCTGAACTGAGCCTGCTACTTCCCTAATGAACCCCACAGCTGCGGGCATGGCCATGTAAGGCATGACCGGACCCAGCAGAGTGAGCGCCATGGCAGGGACCACAGGCGTGTGAACCGAGAGAAGGCCATGGCGTGGGCGTGTGTCTGAGCTCAGTCAGCCTCTGGCTGCATGAGTTGTGCTTCAGCCGCTCAGCCGCCTCTTCTCCCTCTTTGGAAGTTAGAGGAGACCAGGTACAGTCCCTGGTGCACTATTTACTTAGATTGAAACGACTTCTGACTGCCATGGGAGTATTATTTATCTTGACACTCTCTAACCTGAAGAACAAATTTGCATGTCTCAAATTCTCTTTAACCTGACGCCTTCACAGTGTGTTTGTAAAGAGCAATGAAGAGGCCATTGGCTTCCGATCTTGCCTGGGAAGAAGAGCAACTGAAGTGCTTCTGAGAGGCAAGGAAAGTGAGCTTTTGTCACATATGTTCAGCATGTTGTCAGTAAGAGCCAGTTCATGGAGAATGACCTTGTGTTTGGAAAAACAGAGGATCCGAGATCATGAAGATGACCCTCAAGCCACCACCAACTGGGCCATTCACACACTTCAAGGGAAGATCTCAAAGGCACAACAGAAACACTGCCATGGACTGATTACCAGCCAGCTCGTCGCTGCAGAAGCTTTCAGGAGCAATAAGAGATGCAAGTTCTCCAGGGCGGCCAACTAATACCAGAGGTCAAGTGCATGTATCACACGTGGTACCGTCACTGACTGACAACATCCTGGAATTGCCAGTGAAAAGAGCAACATGTACCAACTTGTGCCAAACAGATCCACCTTCACAGCATGGCTATTCCTGATGTGGAATGCACGAAGGCGTCCAAGAAAGTGGTGTATACTTGTTCCAATGATGCAGGCACAGACTTGGTGACAAAGTGCTACAATTTCATTCTCACATGAGGACAAAGAACAGGGAAGCTAGATTTTCCTCATGGAGGCCTGCGTGCTTCCGTCACAGAGGACAAAGGCCTGCGTATTTCCATCACAGACGGCAAAGGCCTGCATGATTGTGTCACTGAGGACAAAACACAGTGTGCCTTTTCCAGCAAGTGCTCCCATCTCTCTACCTGTGTCTCTGCCCTCAGGGGTCACCACCTGCACACAGAAGGCTCATTTTTGTCCCCAAACAGACTCGGAATCCATCAACTGACAGCAAATACCCAGTGCAGACTCAGTTCATTATCCTAAGTACTCAGGGTATAAATCACTCTCCCACAGCTTAATTATGACAAAATCATTGAAGCATTGGAAAAGCAAAGAGCAGAAATGTTTTAATTGTTATGTGGTAGAGATTAAAAGTATATGGTAAGAAATGACAGCATTTTGTTGTAGTATTTGTTTTCCAATTGTTAATTTTTCTTTCCTCACTTCTTTTCATTTGTTTATATCTAATTTTTAAATCTATTATGAAACAAGCATCCAAATGTCAGTAAGTGCTGTTTCCAGTAGAACTGGTAAATCAATCTGCCATTGAGGGAGGTCAACAGAATTTCACACGGATTCTTTAAACGGCTCTTTTTCAACTGCCCAGCTAGCCAGGTGCGGAGAGCACGAGTCTTTTTTGTTGAAGAAAATGTGGAAAATTCTTGTAGAAAATGTGGCATATTGTAAAATTCACTAAAAATGTTATAATCCAGTTAATCTCATTCTGCTGAAATAGCAACCGCTATTTTTTAGTCCAAATGCTAGTGATGAAGAAGTGACACCCTCCCCACGGGACTTCTAAAACTTGCACGCCCGCGCGTGCACACACACACACACACACACACACACGCGCGCGCGCACACACACCCATGCACATGCGTGCGTACACTCGCACTCTCACGTGCGCACACACTTGCACCCATGCACATGTGCGCACACATAGCCGCGCGCGTACACTCGCACTCTCACGCGCACACACCTGCACTCTCCCTCCCCGCAGTGCGCGCACCCCGGAGCCCAGGGCACCAGGGGAAAAGGGCCTCATTGACCACGCGCGTCAGGGCCTCACGTGCTGCAATCTGACCCCTCCGCCCCAAAGCGGACATCTGTGGAAGTGGTGGGCCCTGGACTCTTCCGCTCTCGCCGGACCCCCCTCTCGGCTTCCAGGCAGGTGGGATCGCCTTCCCCAATGGCTAACTTCGGGCAGATCAGACCCGAGGCCCTGCCCGCCTTCCTCCACTTGTAGCCCGCGTCACCTCGAAACCCAGCCAGGAGTAGGGGGACAGCACGTCGTAGAAGAGCTCCAGGGTCCGCGGCATGGTCCCCATGCTGCTCGCTGTGGCACGGAAGGTCATGGCTCTGGGTGAGCAGATCTGCAGGACCTCCTTCCCAACCCAGGGCGCCCTGGCCACACCCCCGTGCGTCACTGCCCACGCCCCTGCGCCCTGGCCACACCCCCGTGCGTCACTGCCCACGCCCACGGCGCCCTGGCCACACTCCCGTGCGGGGCCAACCGCGTTTCCTGGCCCCCGCCACACCCCCAGACCACTGACCACGCCCCGGCGCCCTGGCCACACCTCCTGCGGTGCTGATCGCACTCTGACCGCCGCCCCCCACCCAAGCCTCTGGCCACGCCCCGGCGCCCTGGCCACACCTTCTGCGGTGCTGACCGCGCTATCTGACCCCCGGCACATCCCTGTGCCTCGCTGGCCACGCCCCAGCACACACCCCTACTGCAGCTCTGCACCTTAGTCCCGGCCACACCCCCACTGGGTCACTGACTCCCCCCACGTCCCGTTCACATTTCCCTTGGGTCACTGGCGGTGTCCTGGCCACATGTCCGTCCGGCAGGCCCTCCTTCATGCTCTTTCCTTCAGCGTGCCCTGTCACACTCTCTGCCCACACCCACGGCCCAGCTGTCCACTCGCCAGTCCGCCCCCGCATTCGCTGGCCCCCTCCCTGGACCTCCTGCCACCCTAGGACTGCCTGAGGCGGGACCCCACAGAACCCGGGGACCACCCTCTGCCCCTCCTCATCCCACCTGTCCCCTTTCTTCACCCTATTGGCCCCAACACCTGGACAGTTACCTACCCGATCCAGGCTCAGCCTCCCAGTCTGCTCCAGGGACTTCCTGGGATTGGGGGTGTGGGACACCACTCAGGTGCGCTTGGCCACGTGTGATCACAGCCCGAAAGGTGACCAGCATGGGGCGTGAGGCGCTTGCTGTCCTCTTGGCTGTGTGCCCAGCCAGCCCCAGCTCTTGATCTCATCCTCATCCCTTGACACAGAGCAGCTTCCCCGAGGACAGCACATCGCATGTGGACTCTTGTGAGGTGGAATGAAAGGGCCAGGGACCGGCCAGCATGTGAGCTATGTTACTGCTACTTGGCCCCTGGCAAGTGCCCTCGGCCATCCGACACACAGCGACCATCCCCTGAGGGAGGAGACTGCTTCAGTGGGGAACACACCGTTCACCATGCCACCAGAGATCTTCATAGTCCTATGCTGGGATTTTATGTAATCTATAGCATTGTAGAGTTTACAATGTGATTTTTTAAAAAATGTGGCATCATCTTTTTTTTTAAATTTAATTTTATTATTTTTTGTGTGTGTGTACCGTCATATCGGATCTGACTGGTACAGGAGGAGATTGTCTCTCCTTCTCCAGCAGATCATCTGGTGAATTCAAACCCTGCACCTCTGGGATTGCAGCGCAGCCTCTTGCCACTAGGCCACCAGAGCTCGCCTACAATGTCATTTTAAAAAATTATTGTCAAGTGCTGTCAAGTTGCCTGAGACTCCTAGCAACCCTATGACAGCTCTGAACCCTGTCCTGAGCCAGTCTCACTGAGTCTGACACACCTACGCCCGCCCATCGCCCCAGTTACTGTGTCAATCCGTCTCACCCAGGGTCTTCCTCTCCTGTGCTGTCCCTCCACCCTTCTGAGCATGATGTCCTTCTCCAAGGGCTGGGCGAAGGTCTGCAGAGCAGAGCACTATTCCATTCCTCCACTCACAGTTCTGTCTCCTCTGGCAGCATTCCCCACCTCAGAGCAGCATCCATCTAGGCTCCTCCCTGTGTGTCCCATCTCCATCCCTCCTCCTCCTCTAACTCTTCTAGCCTTCTGACCTTTGCCCTTGAGCAAAATGCTGCCCTTCTGAGTGTAAATGGTTATTTGTTCTAAGGACCTCTGTAGTGTTCTGTTCACCTTCTAGGCCTGTCTGCTGTTTGTCTGAAAATTGAAAGACAGGGTATATGGTGTTAGGACTTTGAAAAATGGCTTTTATTTGTTTAATCCATTGCCTTAGCCCCACCTGGGGCCTGGTCTCCAGCCTCCAGCTGCTTTGACTGAGGACACGTGGTTCACAGTTGATCAACATCTTCAGTATGGTCAACAGCTGTGAGGTCAATGAGAGAGGGAGAGCGAGAGAGCTAAAGGGACTGAAGGGAGTGAGATGTAGCCCGAGAGAGCCCTGGACAAGGGGCCAAGTTACAGACTCTGTTTCAGGACGATTGAAGGGAGAGCTGGCCTGGGACTGCCAGCAGGCGAGGCTTGCTGGACGATTGGAGGAAGCTAGAGGACAGTGCTGCCTTCAGTAGCCTCAGCCCCAGGGACGCTTTGCCTGTACATGGTGAGGAGGGAAGGGAGGCCTTGGTGGGCTCGGCCAAGGTAGAGGTGGGCTGACCGGCCGTGGGCTGGTGCTTGGGGGCGGGTGTGTGTGCATGCATGCGTGTGTGCATGTGCTGTGCCCCGACTCTTGGTCGCCCAGAGGAGGTCACAAGTGGGGCCAGTGAGAGACAGCTCTGAATCCCCGAGTGTCAGGAGCTGTGCAGACCCACAGACCCAGCTTGGGCTGAGGCGAGATGGCACACGAAACTTGGATTTTGTTGTGAGGGATGGGAAGAGTAGAGAGAGCTGCTGGGGGTGCATCCCAGGAGAGGTGAGCTGGGGGCTGGGGCCCCTCAGTCGTGATACCTGTTGAGCTCAGAGGCCTAGAGTTGGTTCCTGTTCACGGTGATCCAACATGTCGCATGAGGAAACAAACACTCCTTGTCCCGGTGTTACTGAAACAGCCTCGGCTGGTGTGATGCAGACACCAGAGAAATAGGTTGTGGTTATATGCCATCAAGTTGCTGGCTACTCATAGCAACCCTGTGTACAACAGCCCTAAACCCTGCTCTATTCTGTGCCAATCTCACTGTCCCTGACACATTTATCCCCATTACCCCAGTCACTGAGTCAATGCATCTTATTGGGGGTCTTCCTCTCCTGAGCTGTCCCTCCACCCTCCCAAGCATGACGTCCCTCTCCAAGGACTGATCCCTTCTTGCAACATGTCCAGAGTATGTCAGAATTAACTTAGGAATCCTTGCCTCCAAGGAGCAGTCTAGTTTCACTCTCTCTAGGATAAACCTGTTTGTTTTCCTAGCAGTCCCTGGTATATATATTCAATACTCTCTTCCAGCACCACAGCTCAAAGGCATCAATTCTCCTTCTATCATCCCTAGTCATTGTCCAGCTCTGTAATGCATAGCAAGTGCTTGCAAAGACCATGGCCTGTATCAGGTGCTCCTTAGTCTCCAGACTGACATCGTTGCTCTTCAGTACTTTGGAGAGGTCCCTCACAGCAGACTTTCCCTATACAATATGTCTTTTAATGTTTTGGCTGCTGGTGAAATAAGCACTCTCAAAAATACTTTAAAGATACTCTGTAATCTACCAGGGCAAAATACAGATTTTTTTACTGCAGGATCGGCAATTTCCTCCTGTGCTTTTAGCTGCCTCTGAAAACCCCCTGGTGGGTCAGCTGTGGGTCGGTTCTGACTTGATGGTTTACAAAAACAGAGGCTTCTTGCATTTCTGCTAATGGAGCAAACCTGGACTCTCACAGTGGTCTCTTTTGCCTTTTCTTACCCTTACAACTTGTTTTCCTAATAAACCTCACAACTTTTGCAGCAGCTATCAGAGCCAGCGATGAATTGAAGTCTGTGCACTGGGGAATCAGTTTTATGTACTGGATGTTACCACTGGGGACAGTTCCCCTTTAAGAAGCCGCTTGGGGTCAGACTTGACCTTCTCCTTGCTGCCCTATGAACCCTGCTTTTTTTGTAGTGTGTGAAGTGAGGGTGTTAAAATTACGTTAGGGGAGTTCTGGTGGTGTAGTCCATAGGGTGTTGCATTGCTAACCCCAAAACAGAGGCTCTGCTTGTTCTTGGATAGGGCTGCTTGTTCATACGGTGGCTTTGAGTGGTAGTCGACGCACTACCACCTGACAGGAGCAATTCAACACATAAGGAACCCTACCACATGCTGCATAACCTGCCAGGCTGCTCGACCGAAAAGTCAGAAGTTCAATACCATCTGCTGTTCCATGGTGGAAAGATTGGCTGTCTCTTCCCACAAAGGTTTACAGCCTGGGAAGCCCAGGCAAGGGCCACTCTGCGTCTGATTCTAGGGCAGTAGCATGTTGAGAAAGTGCTTCCAGACAGCACACTCCACCTTGGTGCCCTCTTAAACTCTCACCTGTAAACTTTCTTGCTCCCAAGTAGATCTTGTCTGTAGCAAGAATTACTGGGGCATTTGAATGGTGGGTCCCCTCCCCCCATTCCCTTGTTTCTTCCACAATTATTCCTTGGAATTCTTCTGAAACAAGAATTGTCTTTCTTCTCTCATATATATACTCATTAACTCATCATTCTTCTACATCAAGATGGATTAATGGATATTTAATTTTAGAATCATAGAATTATGAAACATTTGTATGAGTCTCTACATGTGACTTCTATCATCTGCCTCCATAAATAATAATAATAATAATAATAATAATAATAATAAATTATTGATGTTCCTAGTTGGCTGGACCCTACTGAGGATAATATGGCCTGGGAATAACAATAGAAAAGCTGTTACTTCTGTGTTTGAATATCTTTGGTTGCTGAGAGACGTGAGTAGGCTGGAATGAGAAAGAGAGGTGCAATAAAGTGACAGAAGTAAACGAGAAGAACTCGGTGCAATAAAACCATCAAACACTGGAGGGAGGTGAGAAAGAGCAGGAAACTAAACTAAATCTGGCCCTTTACCCCAGAAAGTCAGTGCGCCGTGTCTGTTTGAAGCATCATTTTTTTTGTTAGTCGCACACCATTAAGCTCGAACCAACCTATAGCTGACCCTCCAGTGGGTTTTCAGAGGCAGTAAATTGCATGGGAGGAGATTGCCCATTTTTCTCCCATGGAGCAGATGGTGGACTCAAACTGCGTACCTTTGCATTGGCAGCAAAATTCCTTACCAATGAGCCACCAGAGCTGTGTGATTTGGAATGGAATAAT